GATCCCCGCTCAGTGAACCAGACCGTACCACCTGTCAATCTCGGAACTCATCCAGCCATGTTACGTACAATACAAACGGGCGATTTTGAGCAATTTGCAAGAATTCGAGTGGAAAATGATGGTGTTTACGGGTTAAATAGATAATCCTAATGTTGGTGTCATGTTTGACAGCTTTATCTGTACCTATTTAATTAATCCTAAGTCATTAGCCGATTGAGTGTTTTTGTCTGAAATCTCTATGAATCAGATCTTCCACTCTTTAAGGTTTCTCTTTTAGAACATTCAACAACGTCGCGCCCGGAAACGCCTGAGTCTGGTTGCTCACAGGTTCGAAGTAGTCCGAACGACACCAGCCCACTCGGATCGAAGAAAGCCCGAAAAGCCAGGACCATTTTCACCGATAAACAATTACAAGAACTCGAATCTACCTTCGAGAAGCAAAAATATCTCAGCGTACAAGACCGCATGGATTTAGCACAACGCATGGGACTTACAGACACACAAGTGAAGACGTGGTATCAAAACCGAAGGTTTGTACTTTTTCGTTTAATTCATATTTATATTACAGCTTATTCTTATATGCATGACTTTGGGTTACAATGTACTTTACTTTTTCTCCCCGCTCCTTCTCATGTCTTTAATGCACGAAATTTGCACTACGGTACTTAATAATTGAGAATTCAACCTTTTACTTGCATCGATAGGCCCTTAAGATCTCGTGTCTAATATTCTCAAACGACATCAAAACGCATTCCGCGGCCCTGTCGCTCTAATACAGATGATTAAATTAGCGGCCTGCGTTCTATTATTCCTGCGCCTATTATTAGCACAAAGTATCGCGTGTGTTGTTTTAGGTGATGCGCCACCATCTGGTGGCTACGGTATGAATGCTGCATTTATACGTATATCCATTGTCTTCGATAAGAGCGCCCAAAAGATGTTAATTTAAATGTGCCAAAATTGACAAAACAAATGTAATCGCAAATTTGATATGAGACCTGAAATAGTTGCTTTCAGAACGAAATGGAAAAGGCAAGCAACAACGGGTATGGAGCTGTTGAATGAAGCCGGAAACTTGGCGGCTGTGCAAAATTTGCTACGCTCCAATCCCTACTGGGCCGGCTACGTTGGCCAACTCGGTGGGTTCCCCACTCCGCTGCCTCTGATGATGGGCTTGCCGTTATCCGCTGCTCTTCCATCCGTTCCTCCCTCTCTTTCCTTTGTACTTCCTCCTTCAACTCATGTTGTTCCCTCAAAAGAAACTACATCCGTTGATACAGAAACAACAGATGCTAACTAGTTCAACTTGTGTCATCATTCTTTTTATGATCTCTTGTGTGATGTGTAAAAAATAGCTTGATAAATGTGCTAAATGTGTAAGTACTGGACACATACGTATACACACACATGTTGCACGATTCATTGGGGCGTATGACACGGTAATGGTGATAATTAGTGAGCAAAACAGTGCGGTGGCATTAGCTGAACTGACAGTGCGTACAGGTTAATTTTCTCGCCCATTAACGCCACAATAACGAGATTGTCCTATTTGAATATGTAAGCAAGGTTTATGCAAAGTTTTTTTTTCCATTTCTCATATTTGTTCGTTCCTGAAGAAGCCATCTTCGAAAATATTATCTGGCCGCAATAATTAATAATCGCTTACCAAGTCATTTTCCCCTCTAATTATTTCTCATTCCATCCAATTTTAATCTATCCGTCTGCAATAGAGCCATAACAGTAGCAGGCGATGGTAAACGCGCAACACACTTGTTTCCAATTAATTGGTTTATTGCATAATACCACATGATGATAATTGGATAATTGATCCTACCAAATAAAGATATTGAAGAGATAGCAGCCAAGCTGGAAGAGCGCAATTTGAATTTGGTCTTGTATGGGGAGCAAATTAATGTTTTTCTTGCATTTCTTCGAATATTTTGGCCGATTGCGAATGATAAGCTATTCTACATTGGTTGTTCTATTGTAGTGAGAATAATTTTGAAGAACGAAACATAGAAAAGGTTGTTGACTTCTTGACCTATCGTAGTGACAACAATCAACGTCTGCTAAGCTGATTGTGGTCAAAAGACGTGATTGGATTTAGAGACAATTGTGTTATTGTGGAAACCGGCAATTTGAGAATGCGAGTGGGCCATCACCCCATCTCATTTACATATTTGACTTCTTCTGGTCTCGGTCAGCGAAAAATATAGGTGTCTCGCAAATCTCGTTAGCACTAAGCTGGCCCAATATCTTCTCACATCTGACTCATAATACTTCCACTTACAGTACTTGAGTTAATGTGTCGCATGGTCGCGGGCGCCTCTTATTGAACTCCGCCAGTAATGTTGTTTAAGAAGAAGAAGGCGGGTGGTGGCAAATAGTTCCTACTATCAAGAGTCTGTCATACATAACGCTAATCGCTCTTCTTGCCTATAACCTTGCATGTAGTCGGCCTTTGTGAAGTGGTGCGAGGAAAGATGAGTTATAATTGCTTCCGTAAAGGACACAACTGCATCGGGCCCGATAATAAATTGGACAACCTTTAATCTCGACCACCTTCTGACTGTTTGACATTTGTCGACAATAAAAGACTGAGGGAGAAGGACGCTTAAGGTCTATTGAGGACAAAAGCTTCAACAACAAACACTTTACGGCAGATTGACGTTGTTTATCTTTTTAAATGTTGCATGGCAAGAGCTGCTGGATTTGATCAATTGTCTTAATCCCCTAAAATTTTAGTTTGAATTTCAGCTTGAAGGTTTTTTTGGCAACCGTTTTCTATTTGCTATTTTCGCTTGTTGAATACGTGATGAACGAATGCAGACGCTAAGAACACTTGGTGTTAAGTCGCCTCTCATTCACTCGACTTGGCGCATTCAAGCCATGCATTCACTGAGTTCTTCTACCCCAGCAAGCAGCAATGGTTTGTCACCTTTTGTCATTTTCCGAGCTATAGCCCCACAATGCGCTCATGTACCACAAACTATCAATTATGGTGTGCCTCAACTCGGTGTTCAGCGAATGAATAATTAAATATGTCGTGCAGATTTTCATTGAGTTTAACTTCGGCAGACAACAGCTAATGTGGGTACTCTCAACCTAAAATTGATATAGTTTGATAAAGCAAATACTTGAGATATCAATGAAAAAGTGTTTCAAAGCAATCTATCCCATAAAATCCCAGCATAACGACTTGTTCTTCAGACCCTTTAACTTCCGCGCAATTTTTGTAGCACTTCTTTCGTTCTAATATATTCACGCAAAGAAGTATGTATTGATTCTATGGTTGCAACGATTACGGTATTGCGCGGAGGTGAATCGTTCTATAATTGCTACTCATCATCTCACATAACAACACAGTGTCCTTACGATGCGCACAATTCAGTTATAATTCTCTTCGATATAGCGATTAGAAGTCGACATGAGATCTGACCAAACGGCGAAATGTGGATGTGTGGTAAATGCTTCAATTAGACGCTTTTTTTCGGATAATTGCCCTTACGAAGCCTTTTAACTTGAGGGCATGACAAAAATTCATTACGGTAAGCCTAGTTGGGTGAGGTTTTCGAGGTAAGAGCCGTAAATGGACGCTGCGTAGACTAGATTACTTCAATGAGATTGCGCCGAAAGCAGTGGGTTTTTGGCCGGATTTAGATAAATTCGAGGCACCCTAATGGAGTAGAATTAACACAAAGTGGCGTGTTTAGGCTTCATCTTTCTAGAGGCGATGGGGGTTCGATTGCTGCAGTTTAGCTTGTATAGATTAGCGCCGAGATGCTGAAAACTACGAATTCGGCTGCCAATCTGGGGAATTAGTTTCGCAGAGGAACTTCTGGGTATCCGAGTTCCTTCACAGTAATAAATATATGATGATTCAGAGGTGGATTTGGTAGTACATTTCTAGCTTTTCACTAGCACAACCTTACAACCTACAAACTTCTGCAAGGAAACATTTTTTGTCTACTTTCTTACACTGACTCATCGCAAACTCCTTTTCTCACTTTAATGCCTACAAGAAGGTTCTTTGTGTTGATTGTCTGTATTGGAATATGCAGTGTAGTCAGGCAGAGACGATTGTTAGGTCCTCGTTTTCAGTAAAGGTAGCAATTAGAGGAGCGGCTGTAAATGGCGTAGAAGTTGTATTTGTGTCTCTTTTCCGGCAAATTGAAGGGGAACTGTGTGAATCAAACAAAGGCGAAAATCCTATTACAAAACCGAAATGTATGCGATAGGAGGGTACCCCATAGTTAGCCTAGAAACATTATAAAATGAAATACTGGACAATGGGCATAAGTGTTTCAATTGGTGAATATTCATTGTTGAGAGAAGTGCAAGATTTAGCTATTTAGGATATCGCAACTACCA